GATGAGCTGTCTGTCGAGCGGCCTGGGCCCCGTTCCCCAGCGCTCGGGTCTCGCCCTCCCCCGCCGCACACCCGCCGCCACTGCCCAGCCAGCCAGTGCATTAAAGATTTAACCCGAAGGCACCGTGCTTCCCTCCTGACTGCCGCCGCCGCCGCCACGTGTAGGCTGGGAGCCCCTCCACGTCTAGTTTCCTGTTATATCTGAGGGTCCCTCCTCGGGGTCAGGCCCTCGTTACTGCCAGTGATGCCCTTCACCCCCTACACCTGCATTCATCCCTGAGTAGCCTATATGGAGGGTTGGTCTTCCCCCCAACTTCATTCCCACATTCTTGTGTTCTCGAAACCCCAGCTGTCTGTCTGCTACCACCTTCCTCCTGGCTAAGGCTTTGCCAGATCTTCTTTTCCTGGGAGTGGATCTGAAAGATCTTAAGCCCAGGGTTGTGGATGTAGGCTGTGAGGGGGGAGCGGGAGAGTCCTAGAAGCTGCCTCCCTCAGCCCGCCATCGGGAAGAAGAGCCTTAGGACTGTTGGAGGGCTTTCCCTATAATGAATACCCCAACTTCCAGCTCCCCCAGTCTGATCCCAAGTTTAAAGACACTTGGCATCACCCCACCTAGAAGTTTTTACTCCTCCTTAGGAGAACCTAAGGGCCACTGTTCCCCATCATCCCTTTCTCCCTCTTTCACCCAGTTGACCCACTATCTCCTAAAGTGCTGAGGGTCAGGGACTCCAGTAGGCCAACACCCCCATCAGTTAGGGACTGGCCCCCGCACCAGAAAGGGCACTAAAGGATTAAGTTAAAGAGACAGCCCAGTCTGTAGGCTGGGGGCAAAAGCTAACTTTCAGCCTGGGGCTGCCCCTGCCACGGCAGGTTGTGGCTGAGAAAACCTGGCCCTATCTATGGAGAAGCCGAAGGGAAGAGATGGGTACGTGCCTGGAAGAATTCATCTCTTGCCTTCTCAGGTCTCTGGACTGACTGGTCCAAGAGAGACCACAAAGTGTATGGCAGACAGACAGCTGATGCAGATCTGTGACAAGACGATGGCACCTCAATCACTGCACCCAAGCTCTGGGCCACAAGTCCAGGCTGCAGGGTGGAGAGAGCCCCTAAGGCCTCTGGCACTAGAAGTTCAAGATGTCTCTGGGTTGTGTCCACCTTCAGAAATGGACCCCGGGTTTTGAGCCATTTTATCCACAACGTCTACATCAAGAACCCTATCCAAAGGGGAGCACCCTGTCTAGCCCTGGGCCTATACCTCACCAGGAAACGGTCAGAATTCCTGAGTATCCACAAGGCAAATTCCCCGGAAGGGCCTTCAAGTCCCACCCTGGACAGGAGGGAGAAGCTCCAGTTGTTCAGCCCGAGAGGGGGACTAGTTTCTGCCCTTGGAGCCGGCGGTCCCTCCTGATTGCTGCAGCAGAACGAGATGCCCAGCAAAGGTGTGAGTCCCTAGGCCAAGAGAAGGCCTGCCCCATAGAAGGCTAAAACAGCGGAAATGCTCCAGACGGCACTCCTGCAACAACTAGATAAGGACTTGATTACTGGGTTATGACTCAGTTTATATTTTAAATACTGAGTAGGACTTGAGGATTGAAATCCCCAGACCTGGTGCAGGAAATTCTTCAAGTTGCCAGGGGCACTAAACACCCTAGGCCAGCCGTGGGCAAACTACGGCAGGGATCCGGCCTGTTTGAAATGAATAAAACTAAAAAAAAAAAAAAGACCGTACCCTTTTATGTAATGATGTTTACTTTGAATTTATATTAGTTCACACAAACACTCCATCCATGCTTTTGTTCCGGCCCTCCGGTCCAGTTTAAGAACCCATTGTGGCCCTCGAGTCAAAAAGTTTGCCCACCCCTGCCCTAGGCAGTTCTCAGCTTCCTGGAAAGGACAGGAGGAGGAGGAGGAGGCGTTTTTTTCTGAGGGGTAAGGGGAAGCAGGGAGTGAGGGCTGGGTATGGGATTAGGAGAGAAGGGACAGGAAGTAGATGGGAGCTTGGGGCATTAGCAAGAAGATGGGATGCAGAGGTCGTACGTGTTCATGGGTATTACTGAGCCTGGGTGGGGGAAGGGAACGTTTTTTCCAGGCCCACAGTGGAGAGAAGCTAGAATTTGAACAGAACAAAAGAAGTAATTGAGCTCTCGAGTCTGATGTCTCGGTAAGCCAAGGAGGGACTGAGTATGGAAACCCCAGGCCAGGCCCCTTTTGACAAGAAGCTGGCATTTCTGGGACAGGACTAGGCAAAAACAGAAAGATAAGATTTCTTGGTGTTTTTCTTTACCTTAGCAGCAACCTGGCACCAAAGAACTTTTATCTTCCCTCGTCTGCCCTCCTTACCCACCCAAACCCTTCCTTCCTGTCTCATCTTGCCAGGGAAAGCAGCTTCCACCTCATCATCTCCAAGGCACCCCAAATACCACCAAAAAGGGCCTTTCCCAGCTTCTCTGAATGTGACTGACACGCCGGCTGAGGGACCCGTTTCCATCCATTTCTCCTGATAAGATAAGCAGGCTAGGACGGGAAGTGGGGAGGGGAAAATGAAGGAAAATTGTGCTGGCTTGCCCTCTGCTCCACCCTACCCACAACACCCCCATCAGAATTTGTGTGTGCTAGTCTGACTGGAGTATTGTGAAAACAGCTGTGTGGCAGTGGGATTTTGAGTATAATTGGGGCTGCATAATTCTATCTGTGGTTGTCTGACCATGTGAGGTTGATCGAGTGAGGTGTGACTGTGAATGTGTAGCTATGGGTATATGAGTGTGAATGTCCATCATTGGATGCCACTGAGGACTCTTGGCTGCTCTTTTCTTGGCTGCTCTTATTCAGGCCCCACATCATGCACTGTCCCTCTCCCCAGCTTCTCTGCCCAGGGCTTAGGAGCCCATGGGAAAAGGCTTTCCTAAAAGAGGAAGGGGGTTCTGGCACAGGGGTCTGTGGCAACCAGAGCCCAGGAGTGTCACCGGATGAGAAATCCATCTTCATCTGCCTCTGACTCACCTGGTGCCCCAGGTTAAAGGTATCCAGATAAAAGATAGGGGAGAAGGAGGAGAGAGAGAGAGAAGTATCCAGGCTGCGCAGCATGAAGGAGCCCTCACCCACCATCAGCCTCCTGCTGCTACTGTTGCTTCTGATCCCAGACTCGGGAGCAGGTCAGTGCTTGGGAGTTTAGAAGGCCAGGGATCTGGGTGAATGGGATGGAGGGAAAAGGGGCTCAGGAAGTCCAGCTTCCAGCTGTCTGATTGAGGGGTTTTCGGTCAGGAGCCCTCTGAACATGTGCCCCCATTATTCCCTAGCAGCGCTACTGCCATCCAGCACTACCTGCTGTACCCAGCTCTACCGACAGCCACTGTCAAGAAAGCTACTGAGGAAGGTCACCCAGGTGGAACTGCAGGAGGCTGATGGGGACTGTCACCTCCAGGCTTTTGTGTGAGCTCTGACCCTGCCCTTGATACTGATCCCTGACTCAGACCCCAGTCCCAATCCCTGATGCAGATCCCAACCCCAGCCCCAACTGCTAATTCTGATGCCAACTCAGGTTGTCATCTGGCCTCTGCCCCTAACCCCTGGACCCTAACCTAATCTGCCGACAATGACCATGGCTTTGGGCCTTTCCTTTCCCAGTCTTCACCTGCCTCGACGCAGTGTCTGCATCCACCCCCAGAACCGCAGCCTGGCTCGATGGTTTGAGCGTCAAGGAAGGAGGTTCCAGAGGACTCTGCCCAACCTGAATGTTGATCTAATAGGGAAAATGGCCCGGGCCCCCAATAGCCAAAATAATAAAGCTGTACTGAACAATAATCTCTGGTTGTGGTCTCCAAGTTCTATGTATTCTCCCGTGAGCCCTGAATCTGAAGCTGAGAGACATGTTAATAAACAAAGAACCTCCTCATTCTCTTTATTCACACCTTCACAACCCCCACCAGGGGCAAGGCTAACAGCCAAGGACCCACACACACTCCCCAGATATCTACATACATACATGCAGAGAACACATGTTCCCTGCCTCACATACACATGGGCACATATGGACACAGATATACACATCTATAAACATTCCACTGGTGGACCTCTAGCTCTGGGATAAAATCAGAGGCCCAGGTACCTTTCATCTGGCAAGTTGGAACAGATAGTCTCATAGAAACGGGCTCCAAACAAAACTTCAGCTGAAACACCTCCCCTCATGAGGATCCACTGTCCTGCCTGGGTTCTATCTGTCCGTCCATCCAAACCAGCAAGACAGAGTTATAGATGGGATTAGCTGAAGTCTTCCTGGGTTCTCTATAGGTTTGGGGCTCCTAGAAAAAGGAAAAGGCAAATCAAGGGAGATAATAGGACTAGATTTTGGCCCGGACACCTGAGTATGAGGAAGGAGACCCAGCTCTGAGCTTAACATTCCAAGAATGAATAGGGGAACCCAGCTCTGAATGAGCTCTAGCACCCTAAAAATGAGGGAGAGGACCTAGCTCTGGTGCAGGCACATCAAGAATAATGGAGAGCCCTGACCAGTTTGGCTCAGTGGATAGAGCGTCGGCCTGCGGACTGAAGGGTCCCAGGTTCGATTCCGGTCAAGGGCATGTACCTTGGTTGCAGGCACATCCCCGGTAGGGAGTGTGCAGGAGGCAGCTGGTTGATGTTTCTCTCTCATTGATGTTTCTAACTCTCTATCTCTCCCTTCCTCTCTGTAAAAAATCAATAAAATATATATATTTTTAAAAAAAAGAATAAGGGAGAAGCCCTGGCCAGGTAGGTCAGTTGGTTAGAGCACCGTTCCAATACACCCAGGTTGCGGGTTTAATTCCCCGGTCAGGGTACATGCAAGAAAATAAAAAAATAAATATAAATAAAAAGCAGTTAAAAAAAAAAAAGAATAAGGAAAGGAGGGACCCAGCTCTGATCCAAGTTATCCCAAGAGTATAAATATAAATAAAAAGCAGTTAAAAAAAAAAATAAGGGAAGGAGGGACCCAGCTCTGATCCAAGTTATCCCAAGAGTAAAGATAGATATCCAGCCCTGAGCCTAGCACACTGAAAGTGGGGATGGAGTCAATCTAGGAGCCCAATACCCTGCAAGAGAGGGAAGGGATCCAACTCTGAGCCCAGGGACTCAAGAATGACAGGTCTGTCCCTGAGCCCAGATATAAGAATGAGGAGACTCAACTATGATTCCCAATACCCTTATGATGATGGGCCTCTGGCTCTTAATCCAGACACCTACAATGAGGGCACACATCTCCAAGGCCAAGCCTCCTGGAGGTCCTACTCACCTGGAAGCTTGTCCACTGGAATCATTGGGGCCAAGAAACCAGGCTTCTGGGGTCCATCCTTCCCATCTGGCCTCAGCCTCAGCCTGGAGCATAAAAAGGCAGCTGTTTTCCTGACAATGTGGGGCATCTCAGTCTCCTCCAAAAGCGTGTATTAGGAAAGGGTTAGGAGAGGAATCAGTGAGAATCATGAAGTTGAGGAGAAGAAAGAAAAGTAGTTCCAGAATCATGTTCAGTGGGAAGTCATGACGGGTGGGATAGAGTATGGTCTGTGGGTATCAGAGCATCTGTGTGGGATCAGGGGCTAAGGCACCAATGACAGTCACTTACCAGAGCCCCAGTGCCAGGGCCCCAGCTGCCAGTCCCAGGAACGAGAAGATTCCCAAAGATGCTAGGACAGCCACCTGCTCCAGGGGGTCCCTGTGGACTGGGGTGGGGGTGGGGGTTCACATGTGAGAGTGAGCCTGACAAAACTCAGTGCCCCCTTCTCTCTGGAACTTTCCCACCCTCTACCACCTTTGCCCCTCTACACCAGCTCACCAAGTGGCTGTAGGTCTGGCAGGAGGGAGGGCCTTGGGGGAGCAGGGCTGTCTGCTTGCGGCTCCTTCTCCATGTATGGCTGACCCCCAGCTGGTATCTCCTTAGTTAGGGGCCCTGAAGAAAGGCAAGACCTGAGGAGAATTGTCCACACAGGGTAGAGGCAGAGGCCAGGGCCTGCCAGTTGAAGCCAGGGCCTGGCTTGGACACAGGGGCACCTAGGAAGTGGAGCCTGAAAGGCCAGAGTCAATTTATGGAGATGTAACAGGGGTGGAGGCTGAGGGGAAGGGCTTCAGCTAGAACAGGGCTGCAGGCATCCAAGGCTGAAGCCTAGAACAGCCAACTGCCATGCCCACATGGGCGGGGCATGTGCCACGCAGCCCTGTTCGTGCCAACCTGTTCAGCTGAGGGTCAGAGCCCATTCCTTGGTTCTGTCTCTCACCAGTGCTCGGAGTCCCCCAGGCCTCAGGGCTCCAGGCGCTCCAGGTGCCAGCATCCAGAAAGTCCCGGGCACTGACCCGGACGGCATGGGGCAGCCCAGCCACAGCGTCTGTGATCACCTCCTCCAATCCAGCCGGCTCCACCTGGCGGTGAAGATGGTTCATCACCGAGTTATCCAGATTGTAAACACTGAGCCTCCCTGGCCCCGGGCCCCAGTCTGCAAAGAGTACCCCTTCCTCCCTGTCCTGTCCCTGTCAGCCTGGTAGAGCCTTCTGGGCCTCAGTAGAGCGGCTGGTGGTGTCAGGTCTACACACAGTGTTTGGAAGACAAAACTATGTAGTGTTTATCTAGACAGGCTGTGCTGGCAGGCTGCCTGGGTTCAGATCTTCCTGGGTAACCTTGAGCCCCTCTATGCCTCCGTTTCTTCATTTGTAAAATAGAGATGAAAACACCCAAGTGAAATAATGCATATGCAAATGTGTAGCTTGGTGCCTGGTGGGCAGACAGCGCTCAATAAATATTGGTTATGATCCAAGGCAGCCACTCCCCAGACGTGATGCAGCCAACCTCTGACATTTCCCGAGGTGGGAATTCACTATCTTTATCTGGGAATGAGTGTTTTGTATCTGGGCATATGAGGATGTACTTCTGGATAAAAGACACTTCCAATTTTAGTATATGTGCTGCTGAAGTGAGCACGTCACTTCTTTTCCTAGAAAAGTTATTTTTAAAAAGTTTCTGCTGCCTTCCCACAGATAGGCTTACATTAGAGTTACATCCCACAGGACAGAGGCTTGGTTTATTGCTCCCTGCGGCAACCCCAGCACCCAGCACAGAGCCTGGCCCATGGGAAGCCCTCTCCATGGGGAGGCAACAAGGCTCCAGTGACCTGCCAGTGCCAGAAATCCATGCAGAACACCAGAAACACGAAACCAGAGACAGGACCCACAGCCCTGGCACACACCCCAGGCCTCACCATGGACCAGGCGGGATGCTGCACTGGACGGTACTGCAGCCGGAACTTGAGCAGGAAGTGGGGCTGGCGGGGCCAGGAGGCAGGGTATGTCCAGCTGGCACGCAGGCGGCGGGGGTAACCAGGTACTGGCTCTACCCGCAGCCCCTGGGGTGGGTCAGGACGCACTGAGGTGATGGAGACACAAAGTCAGGGCAGGTGACAGGTACCCATCCCTTACCCACCACCTCCCAAGGGAAGGTGGGTGTGTGCCTAAAGGTACCTGAAGGAGGCCCTTCTAAGGGGTTGGGGAAATCTTAAGCTTGATCATCCTTTAGGCTCTGGATCTGTCTGTTATCCTTATTATAAAATGAGCTGAGCACTAACTGGTTTGGCTCAGTGGATAGAGCGTCGGCCTGCGGACTGAAAGGTCCCAGGTTCGATTCCGGTCAAAGGCATGTACCTTGGTTGCAGGCACATCCCCAGTTTGGGGTGTGCAGGAAGCAGCTGATCGATGTTTCTAACTCTCTATCCCTTTCCCTTCCTCTCTGTAAAAAAATCAATAAAATATATTTTTTAAAAAATAAATAAAATGAGCTGAGATCGGGAGACAGGTTTTGAAAGCTTTGTTGAGTGGGGGGTTTTTTTGGTTTGTTTTTGTTGTGTTTTTTTGTTTTGTTTTTTGTTAATCCTCACCCGAGGATATTTTTCCATTTACTTAAAGAGAGTGGAAGGGAGAGGTAGAGAGAGAGAGGAAAAAACATTGATGTGAGAGAGACACATCGATTGGTTGTCTGTTGCACACTCCCTGACTGGGCCAAGGATTGAGTCTGCAACCAAGGTACGTACCCTTGACCAGAATCGAACCCACAACCCTTCAGTCCGAAGGCCGACACTCTAACTACAGAGCCAAAACAGCTAGGGCTGTTGGGTGGATTAAAAAGTAACCCTGCTTTCCAACAAGGAAGATGAGTTAGCCCAAACTCCAGCCAGAGCTTTAGTGCCCCAGCCCATGAACAGATCAAGAGGAAGGAGGGGGCAGTAATGGCTTCCAATGGACAGGGAGGACTTGAGACGTGGCTGCCTTCGGCTCAGAGCTCAGAAGCAGAGAGACAGCTCAGAGGCTAGGCAGCTAGGAAGGACTCGAGGGAGTGGGGAGTGGGGAGTGGCAACAGCCTCTAGAGCAGCGGTTCTCAACCTGTGGGTCACGACCCCTTTGGGGGTCGAACGACCTTTTCACAGGGGTCGCCTAAGACCGTCGGAAAACACATATATAATTACATATTGTTTTTGTGATTAATCACTATGTTTTAATTATGTTCAATTTGTAACAATGAAATTGGGGGTCACCATAACATAAGGAACTGTATTAAAGGGTCGCGGCATTAGGAAGGTTGAGAACCACTGATCTATTTGGCTTCTTGGTCTCCACAGGGGCCATCTGTGTGCTGAAACAGGGGTCTATGTTGGGAGGGAACGGTCTGGGCACCCTGGGGAGTTCTGCGTTGGGATATCTGTACTCTGGAGTCTGTTGGAGTCTCTGCAGTTGGGATCTGGGGGACTCTAGGGCTGGGTACTCACAGATGCTCTGCAAGCTCACATCCAGCAGGCGTGTGCTGGCTCCCAGGGGGTTCACCTCAGTCACATTGATTCGGTACTGGCTCCAGAACTCTGCCCCGTGGACCACACAGCGGGCAGCCCCTGGGGGGTCCTGTGGGCACGGCCAGGGCCCTGTAGATGGACTTGTCCTAGGAGAGAGGAAGTGGTCTTGGATTGGAAATGCTCATTGCGGGATCCAGCTGTAGCCCCCAGCCTCTCCCTCATGTCCTACCTCTGGCCATCAGCTCCTGGCACTGTCTTCTTCCTGGCAGGGAGGGGCCATCTGAGGTCAGGCAGGAAAAGAGGGTCCTCCCTCTTCCTAAGGCCTTCCTCGGGACCTCCCTCCCAGCCTCCCAGACCCACATTGTGCTGGCACACTCAAATGTATAGACCTACACGCCCCCTCACGCACACACCTGTAGGAAGTAAGGTAGCGGGT